ACCCTTATTTTACTTAAGAAAGCCCCAGGGCTGGGGATGTGGCTCAAGCGGTAGTGCGCTCGCCTGGCATGCGTGCGGCCCGGGTTCGATCCTCAGCACCACATACCAACAAAGATGTTGTGTCCTCTGAGAACTAAAAAATAAATATTAAAAATTCTCTCTCTCAAAAGAAAAAAAAAATTCTCTCTCTCTCTCTCTCTCTTAAAAAAAAAAAAAAAAAAAAGAAAGCCCCAAAGTTTAAAAGTAGTGATGTTGGAAATTCAGATATGCCAAAGAGAAGCCATAAAGTGGTTCCTTTATGTGGGGGGGAAAAAAATTTAGGTGAAAGTTTTTGACTTCCTATAGGAAAAAAAAAAAAAAAAACAACTTTGTACTGAGGTTTCTAAGATATACAGTAAGAATGAATCTCTCATGAAGTTGTGAAGAAGAAAAAGAAATTCATGTTAATTTTGCTGTTACACAATAAACTACAGAAATTGTGGCCGCAGTACATGATGAATTCTTAGTTAAGATGGAAAAGGCATTAAATTGTGGGTAGAAGACATGAATGTGTTTGTGTGTATTATACAAAGGATTTTTTTTCCCCTAAGACTACAGAACTCTTTTACATCCATATTTTCTAAGTGATGATTGATTGAAATGAATAAAAATGTAACAATAGTTCTGTAGTCTTAGAAAAATAAATAAATCCCTTAGTTAATCCACACATAAAAAAAAAAACAAAAACAGCATATATAGGGTTCAGACATCCATTGGGGATGTTGGAGCACATCCCCTGTGAATAAGGGATGACTGTTTTCTAGGAATTCTTTGGAAGACAGGTAATAAGATAAACATGACTAGCATAGAAGAGGGTAGAAATGAATGGGAAAAAATAAAGAAGGTAAAAATAATTTATAAATATGCTATTAACCACATTTTTATGGTTGTGTTTCAAAATCAATAAATATTTTATTGATTCTACAACTATTATACAGCTAACTCAAGGTGTCAAAGACTTTGGAAACATAAATCTATGTTTTATCATATGTTTCCAAGCTCTTTGACACTTTGAGTTTTTTAAACAGTGTTACATTTTTAAATATGTTCAATATGGTTTCCTTTATCTTCTAGTTATTTCTCCAGGAGCAGTACTTCTAAGTTAAATGCAGTGAGTCCAATGGTTGATCTGAAAAAGTACAAGGAAAACACTATTTTCCCTTTTCAGACTTTTTGAATACTCTGTGTTTATTGTACTTTATTTAGATGCCTATAGCTAATGACATCTCAAATATGTGTGCAGGGGCTGGGGCTATGTCGTAGAACGCTTGCCTAGCACCTGTGAGGCCCTGGGTTCGAGCCTCAGCACCACATAAAAATAACCAAATAAAATAAAGGTATGCTGTCCATCTACAACTACAAAAATATTTTTTTTTAAAAAGTGTGTTCATACATAAGCAATTTATTTCTTGACTAAGCCAATATTAAAATAAGGTGAGGGGCTGGGGCTCAGAGGTAGAGCACTTGCCTTGCATGCGCAAGGCACTGGATTTGATCCTCAACACCACATAAAAATAAAATCAAAAGATATTGTGTCTACCTATAACTAAAAAATGAAATWTGATTGAAAGACCACATAATTTATAAGGGTCCTTTTTATATGTCTTTGCTTTTGCATCATCTTATCTTCTGCATGTTTGTTTGTTCTTATCTATGGGAAGGGAGCCCAGAAAGTAAAACTCACGGTAACTCAGTGGTAAAGTTAATCCACAATTCTCTTTCCCTGCTGAAAGCAGAGGTGAATACACAATGCACATCCCCCACCCCCCAGCCCAGCATCATTTCTCCTAAAACCAAAGAAGCCATTTTTCCTTTTTAAGTCTAAAAAGACCTATGGAAGTTCATGCTTATTTTTATCATTGAGGTTATGTAATAATGTATAGAGTCAATTAAAGTCAGGTATTCATGATATTTTGGTTATATGTTGTCTTGTAGGTTACTATTCCTGGCGAAATTCCAAGGATGGATCCTGGTTCATCCAGTCACTGTGTGCTCTGCTGAAACAATACGCTCATAAGCTTGAGTTTATGCATATTCTCACTCGGGTAAACCGGAAGGTAGCAACAGAATTTGAGTCCTTTTCTCTTGACTCCACTTTTCATGCAAAGAAACAGATTCCATGTATTGTGTCCATGCTCACAAAAGAACTGTATTTTTATCCCTAAAGAAATAGTTGATTTTGTTAGTTTGTATGCCAAGTGAGACAACAATATAAATAATACTTTGTTTCCTCTGCCACTTAAATTTTATCTAAAGATGGTACTTTGAAACATACCACTTCTGCAGTAGAACCACAATGAA